AAAAAAAAAAAAAAAAAATCACTTCAGGTGGAGTGAACAATTAAGATAAAAGGTCATTTCATTTATATTACAAATACAGTACATATGTATGTAAAGGCTTTCATAAATATTTTTATTTAATCATAGATTATATAGTGCAGTTATCCGTATTAGCAACATCTCATAAATGATGAAATTTAGGCTTGGAAAGAAAAGAGATTTATCGAGGGACATACAGCTAAGTAGTGGCTCATTAAATTATTGAACAAACAATAAAAAGGAATATTCCAGTTAAACAAAGATATTTGCTATAGCTTCTTAGTAGCAAATATTAGGAAATATATTCTCAGAAAGTGTCTTTTTTTTTTTTGAAAGTGTGTCTTTTGTCAGGAAGTAACAGCTAAAAAAAACTTCAGAGAAAACTGTAAGTATTTACATTGATTCCATTACATAAAAATAATCATCAAGTAACATTGAAAAAATATATACACACATGTGATTTTACTGGGTTCCTATCTTTGTTTACATTTTAAGACAACAGTGACATCTAAATAAAACAAAAACAACCAATATAAAAATTCAGTATAAACCCAACAAACTGCCAAAACTGCATTCATTTGTGCAAAGAAGAATAAGGTAAAAGTAAAATTAACAATTGGTTGTTGGTAAAAACTCAGGTGACTTTGATGCAAGCTAAAGTGGAGAACTACTAGTGCAGCCATTTTAACTACTTACCTCTTGACTTTATCATAGTTTTCTTGACGGTAGTCACCTTGCTGAATTAACTGTTTTGTGTCTGCTAATTCTAAGGCCAAACGTTGACATCTAATTTGAACTTCTGAGTAGTTTTTTCGATCTTCCTCATATGTCTATAAATCAAAGGAATAACACATTTCAGACTAAACACTTAACATAGTTGATCAAATTCTGTATTGAAGTCTTTTGTCAAGCTGTGATTGTCCTTGTAATTAAACAACAACAAAAATCCTCGATTTTTAAATTTAGTAAATTTTTCCTACTCAAAGACAAGTGATATTAAATTCAGAGTGGTTTGTAAACTCAGTTGTTTAAAACCTAAACTGTTTTTCAAATAAAAAAAAACACAACCACTAAAACATAAAATTACTACAAATATTAAATGAATTTCTAAAAACATTTACTGAGTTTCTATCAAATGCTAAAGATACAGAAGTGAATAAAACACACTTCCTGTTCTTGAGAAGTTTATCCAGTTCCCATCTTGACATTCAGCAAAAATAAAAAAATCGTGTGACCCTTGAAACACATCTTTACATTGTTCTTCCCTCTATACTCTCCCCCTGCCAGTAGCACATAAGAAAGGGATTAAGGGATGGCTGATATGGGAAGAGCAATGAAAGTCAAAACCTTAAAGTTGTTTACAAGGTTCTTTACAATCTGGTGCTGCTTACTACAAGCCTCATTTCTTACCATTCCTAATAGTCACACTTCACCCTGCAATCCTAATGAGAATCTGAAGTTCTCTGAACCCACCAATGCTTCTTCTAACCCGTTCCCACTGCCTGAATACCTGCATAAAATCTAAATGCTTGTCTCCTTCACAGCACTGATCTCAATGTATCATTACCATCAGATTAGTTTTCTATCTGACCAGAGGGTAAACATCTTAAGGGCAGGGACTTTGTCTTGCTCACTGCTGGACCTCCACCACTTTAAACATTACCAGGTATATAATAAGAATGAAATAAAAGCTAACAAAGAAATAATTAAATATGGAAACTGGGACAGGAAGCAGGAGACAGGGACTAAATTCCTCCTTATTTTCCTTCTTTGAACTCATCAAATTTTGCAACCAACCATCAACCCCATCTTCGGAAGCTGGCATGTTAAATGCATCCTGTGTTAAGTCATTATTGCTTCAGTAGCTGACCAACTAAATGAGGTCATATTCACTCCACACATACTGACTAGATCATGTCCATGTGACTGGTCCTGGATTAGGCACTATAGATACAAAGACGAGTAAGACAGTTTTGTCCTTTTTAAACTATTAAATATAATTTTGATATTTTAGTCCCCAAATTTATAACAAAGGGCTGTTTGAGAGAAGTAATTATGGAAAAACCATATTCAGTGTGTGTTGCTTTGGTATGGTATCATGTTCTTCTACACTGAAGTTTTCCATGAGAATGAAATGTTACTATGGTATTTATTATGGGATTACCTGAAGAATCATCACATATATCATTTCAGACCTAAGTCCTACAAGAATCTTTAGTTCTTCTGAAGAATGCTTTACCCTTCTAAACACCATTAATCATGCAACTGTTTTAGAAAAGGGTATAATGTTATGGGTAGGAAGGCAAGCTCCAGAATTCAACTACCTAAAATTGAATTCCTGCAGTGAGACTCTCTGGGCAGTTTAGTTTACCTCTCTATTCTGGTGTCCTGCCTCAGAGTTCTTGTGAAGCTTATATCAAGTTATACATGTAAAGTGCTTATAAAAATGCCTAACATGTAGTAAATGCTGATTAACTATAAATATTGTTATAATGCTTCCTCTTAGCTTTGGCTTACAAAGAGATCACAGACAATTACACAGTTCAACTTTAGTAATTGTACAAACACCATGACAAAATTTGTAGAAACATAAACACAAGTAATATAAAAACATGAAAAAAAGGGCAAAAAACAGGGATCCCCAAAACCCCAAAAAAGTATTAGCAGAAACAACCAATAAACCAGGGGTGTGTGTCAGGAAAAACAGAAGACAGTGCTTTGAAGCAGTCAGTAACATTGAGAAACACTACTTATTGGTACGAAGAAATACTACTGAGAAAAACAAAAAGCCTTTAAAATACTCAGGGGTAGGGGTAGAAGGTAGAGTGCCAGGGACTAAAACAAATATGTATAAATACTCAGTATGCCCCTGTTTTTGGCTATTTTATATACATTGTCGGACTTAATAAATTTATGATGGGATATAAAAATTATGCTGTTTCACAGATGAAAAAAACTGAGGCTTGGAAAGTCTCAGAGCTCATAAATAGTAGAGTGAGGACTCCAATCTAAGTTTGTCAAATACCAATCAGTGGGCAACTCTTTCTAAAGCTTAATAGTAAAAGTGGAGAAAATACAGTAGTTAAGAGAAGAAAACAGGGCCAATGAAGGTTTTAAAAGATGAAACAAGCTTGACAATATGCAAATATTGATGGGAAACAACTAATGGCAAAAGATGAATTACTGTTGGAGAAAAGGGGCTGCATACGGGAGAATGAAGCATAATCCTGAATAAGAAGAATACAGGAGATGGGATCCACAGTTTAGATGTGGAGATTTGCTGATACAGAGTATTAACAACTTGAATATTTTAGATAGCTCTTATCAATTTGCTACAGGCTACAGCCTGCTCTTACCCTAAGGCTTCACAAATTTATATTATCCACCTGGTTTCTAGAGGCATATGATTTTCCACCCCTTGAGGGTAAGACTCTTTCCATTACAAACAGTAAGAACAAACAAACCAGAATGAGTGCAGATGTGAGTAGATTTGGTGGCAGGACAAAGTTCTCACCTGAGGATTTCCATTTTCTCTGTGAAATGAAACACTAAGTCATCTACTGAGAGTGACAAGAAACACAGAAAACTGGGAATGTAAGGAGAGTGGTTGGTTCCCTTAAGTAACCTCTGTGAAAAATGAGAGAACTAGAAATAATAGAATTACAACCAATTGTGGGGTCCATTTGAGGCTAATAACAATAAACTGACAGTGCTTGTTACTGCTTGGGTGATTTTTGCCAGTAGTGCTCAGTTAGAAAAATTAAGAGTTGAGAGTTTATCACTCTGGCTTGTGTGATTTTCCCCAGTAGTGCTCAGTTAGAAAAATAAAGAGTTGAGAGTTTCTTAGTCTAGTTTGAAAACTGAAAACATGATGGTGAGGGAAAAAAAAATAAATCTAGGAAAGGATTGATAAAGAAATAAATTATATGGATTGGAAATTTTGTTAAAGACAAGTTGAAAGCCATGACAGGAAAACATAAAAAACATCCTATGAAATAGGATGTTCAGTGGATCAAAGTGAATTGATAACTTCAGAAGTAAATCGGTTCTGGGGACCAAATCTGGGCTATAAGACTGAGTGTTAAAGTGGAAAAAAGGCAAATCGCTAGAGATGAGATCAATAAAATTCAAGGCCAAGGCTACAGATGAATTAATCACAGAAGTAACCTAGGTAGCAGCTGAAGTGGAAAGGAAGACTAAATCTAGAGCTTTACTGAAGCTCTAAACTTTAGAAGGCTTTCACTAAACAAAGAGGAATGTCCCAGTGGTCTGAAAATGAGGAAGACTATAAGGTGGGGTATCCAGATGACGAGTTCCCAAAGAAGCAGTGTTTTCTGTGAGTACAACTGCAAAGATCTAAAAAGGTAAAGATCTGACCCTGAAATATGTAGACTATTTCAGGATATTCAGAGAGTAGTTCCATGGGAGAATAAATATAGTGTATATTATTAATATTATATACACAGCATGTCATATAATATATACGTTTTTATATATCCATACATTTTTAAACAATATAAATACCATATGCAAGTATAAACGGAAGCAAGTGTAAGTGCAGTATAGGAATGTATACATTCAACCAGCCCTTTATTTACATTTTTTCAACTGGAAAATTTCCCCTTAAATGAAAGTATTACTTTTGTATTGTGAACTAAAAAACCTCCTGCACTTATTGTTAGCAATTAAAATAGAGTAAGACATAGCCCTAGAAACAGGAAAAGTAGCGTCTTCCTTCAAAATAAACCCCATGTCTGTGTAGAACCATGATTAAAGCTATAGAGAGCAGAAAAGACTGTTTTGTATTCCCCTCTGCATCCTTCCATGTCTTGAGCTCAGCATCAACCTTTGTGGGAAGACAAAGCTTCGGCTCTAACCTAGAGTTTATCCTATTTTTTCCACAACACGCGATTCTTACCTGTCGGAAAATGCACCAGATGTGCTGTAAGGAGCCGTTACTTGTCTCCCACATCATAAGGAAAAATTTAAGAAAGTTTTCTATAATCCTAGTAACTAATACTCTGCCTATTATATAGAATATTTGCAATTAATGTCTGTGGAAGAGGAGGAACAAAAGAGGAATTAAATAGATTAAACAAAAGCAGCAAAAAAGGTAAACTTTTCAAACATAAAGAAACAGACACATAAAATTTCCAGTTATCAGCCCTTTCTAACAGAAAATTTCTATGTACTAGTAAATGTGCTAATAGCCAAGTATCAATTTCCATTCTCAATAAAACACAATTACTATGAATATAATGAATTTCTAAGCTTCCTTTTAAGTCTTTCATCTCTCACATGATGTAAACTGAGAAATAGTAACCTATGTCTCAAAATAAATATTTAATAAATGAAGATCTCCTGCCCGTGTAGAGATAGGACAACTAAAGAAACTGGAAATAGGATATAGTGACATTTACCTTAAGGTTCAAATCTGAAACAGTTTACATTGAACAGCAGTTCAGCGAATGGTAAGAAATAGTTGGTTAGCTATTCTGGAAAAGTGAGAATTCACTTGTCTGAATTCCCACAAGTTTCATTATTAATAATCTAATTCAAGCAACTAAATACTGAAAAGAACAAGAAACCTAATTAAGCTTTAACTGCTATAGGCTGTCTCCTTAAGTCACAATGAAGTCTGTTTTGCTGCCAGAGACAACTCTTATCATTGTTAAGATCTTCAAGAAATTAAAAAAAAAATCTTTCTGACTTCTAAAGACAGGAATGGAAGTAGTAAAGTCTGCTATGCATTAAAATGAAAATCTTAATTTGTTACATGCTAAATTTTCAATTATATCTATTTGAATAAATGGAATTCAAACAAAAATTT